GTTTGCACATTCTCCCCGTGTCTGCGTGGGTTTCCTCCGGGTGCTCCAGTTTCCTCCCACAATCCAAAGATGTGCAGGCTAGGTGGATTAGCCATGCTAAATTGCCTATAGTGTTCAGCGATATGTAGATTAGGTGGGTTATAGGTGCATGGGTCTGGGTGGGATGCTCTGAGGGTTGGTGTGGACTTGGTGGGCCAAAGGGCCTGTTTCCACACTGAAGGGATTCTATAAGATGGCACATCTGACAGTTGAGTACTTGTCAGTGGCTGTGACTGAATTTTAGTTTAAATTTAGAGTTGGCCCTAATGGAGTGATTGCTGGTTTTGATGGCACCATCTTGAAAAATCTTCTGTATCATGCAGAATGACAGCCATATACTTGCTAAACTACTTGAAAATGTTTCATGTGCTCCATTATATTCTTTGCCCACTGTGTGCTTCCAGTGAAACACATTTTTCTTTATATGTTCAAGTCTTCTTATTGATCCAGCCATGTAAATGTAGCATAGCGATCATTCAGGGTTCTCTGCAACTGTGCACCTTGTATCCTATCTCGGACCTCAATAACACAGGTTACCTGAAAAACCAATCAATATGAAGTGTGACATAATTCTGCAATTACATTTGCATTTGTTTTCTATTTCCTTTGATTCAGAACATTCTAGAATATGACAATTGCCTCCTGATCCACCATTGCAGCAACGTTTATGCAGACAGCTGAAATTTCATTTACATTCATTCAGAAATTATTACTAACTAGTTGGAAATGTAGCACGGTATTTCATCAATGTAGGAATTTGTGTCAATTATAAGCCATTTACTTAATACAAAATTTTTCTAAAAACTCTAGTTTAATTTAAAATGTAGAGATATGGTTAAAAAATTGATTCACTTTATTACTTTGAATTGTTAGGTTGGAATGACAAACTCCTTTGTAACTTGATAGTTTTAAATTATTTTTCTTTCATGGGATGTGAGCACCACTGGTGGGCCCAGCATTTGCTGCTCATCCCTAACTGGCCTTGAATGAGGGAAGGTTAAGAGTCAACCATATTGTTGTGGGTCTGGACTCATTTTTAAGGCCACATTAGATAAGAATAACTGAATTCCTTCCGTAAAGGCCGAGAGTGATCTAGATGGATTTTTACAACAGTTGATGATAATTGTGATGTTCATCATGAGACCAGCTTTTAATTCCAGATTTTTAAAAATTGAATTGTAATTGAAGATTGGACAGCATTTGCTAGATAATATTGAGTGCACAAATAATTATACTGACAACCAATATAGGGTTGTTATTTGGGCTTGAAGTGGTGCACTGGAAGTTCCATATATTAATACACGACACAGTGATATTTGCGGAGAGAAAGAACATGTATGCACACTACACCTGTTTCAACTCTACGAAATATGTGAGTGCCATTTGCTGGTTCATTTCTCAGGGCAATGTCTTAACCAGCCTCATATGGCCATGTTTAAAATTTAAGCAAGCCTGGCAGTCAATTGTCAATCAACGTTAATGGGTGCATTTTCCATTGCAACAACTCGAACAATCACAGTCCACTTGCCAACCAAGCAGCACTCTCATGCAGTTTAAATATTGGTTTTCCCCTTGAATTGATATTCTTGTAAATTGTCCTGTTGAGAGCCAAACTAAAAGCTTCAACAAAATAAGCACTTTTGCAGTTGTAAATAAAAAAATGCAGCAGCCTGCTTCTGCACAACACGCTCTCACAAACACCAACAAGATCAATAGCCAGTTACTTTGATTTTGAGATGATGATTGATTTCACTTTTTGCTTTGAATTTGACCAAGAGAAATATCAAATGCAAAATTTAGAATATTAGTTTAAATTACGAAGGTGTGAACTTGAGTTTCATTCAAGGGTTCCAGTAAAAGAGCAGCTTTGTTAAGAACCAGCTGAAACTGGATCCTCATTATATGAGATAGCAGGAACTGCAGATGCTGGAGAATCTGAGATAACAAGGTGCAG